CCCCACCTGCGCGCGCAACGCCCGCCCGGCCCCACTCCTCGCTCGCCCCCAGAGGGGTTATTTATACGGGCCGCTCCGGACAGGCAACAGGTTCCACCGCCCAACACGTGCACAAGGCGCACACCCGTGCCCGTGCCCGTGCCACCTCTGGGTGTCGCGGCCTTCGTTTGAAAAAAAAAAAAGATATTGAATGCGATACGGTGATCACAAAATATTTTACATTCATCATTGTTTCTGTAGCAAACCGCTGCATTTGATGTTCGTTACACTACTTTTTTGCAAAATCACATTGGTAGAAGTTTTCTTCACCCAGCTGTTTTGTAAATATCTAATATCTATACCCAGGTGGCTGAAATCTGTCGACTCTTGTAGTTAGGTTGTCACATGCACGCGTGAAGAAAGCCTAAAGGCTGGCTACTCTCAAAAAGTAGGCAAAAGGTGAGGACATGGACGAGGACGTGGGCGTAGGTCGTCTTCTCAGCCACCACCACTGGATATTTAACTTTCTTTTTTGTGCAATTTGTTGAAGTTTGACATCGTCGCCTTATGTCTATTTATACCCAGTTTCCAATCTACATGTAAATTTCTTGTAAATTTATAGTAATAAAAAGTAGCTTGACCAAACGGTTGTAAATTGCAACCCTGGGTTCCAGACAAATAGAGATGACTGTCGTCTAGAGAAAGCTGTCGTGCGTTACGAAGCCCGCTTCGTTTCAAATGAAGGTGCCTTCTGCAAAGGCAGCTTGTCCAGCGTAGGTACCAACTGATGCATACTTAATAAAAAAAATAATCTAGCTACCAACAAAAGATGTCTCATCTTGTTTCCAAAACACTTTCCATTAACTTTCTGAAATTTTACCTTCTATTCATTACTGCCCCTATATCTTCATTTTCATTCTTATTCGACATCTACCAACAAGGTATTATACAACACGACCCTCTGTTTACCTGTTATACCCCATGCTTCGAATCCAAAAATCCAAAACACGGACCCCAGAAATTAAATGAAATTGACAGTCACTTTTAAATCCCAAGTCTTACTTGAGGTAGGTATTTACGCTTTCTAAACTGTCATAGACTCCAGTCTAGAAAGGTTTGTGGAGCTGTCGGCTGCAAAATAGGAAACATAACCTCAATAGCTCCTATATCCTCAATCATGAAGTAATACTTAATCTAAGAAGTTTTTGAGAAATAATAGCTGATGGTTTGTTTTCAATTTATGAAGATGACCATGCTTATATGTTTCTAATTTTTATCATACCCAAGCCTCCTTGGAACTCTAATACAATTTTTGTTCATTATTTTCAGATGCGGCTGCCACTGCGATTATTTGCTCGAAATACTGTAGATTTTATAGGACCTAACGTTTCTGATGCTACTAGAAGACATGATCATTCTGGTCGTAATGCGTTTATTACAGTAATGAATGTTTTAAATGTGAAAAAAACGCTTACTACTCCTGAATGGAGTAGATTGAAAAATATTTTTGAAAGTCCTGGGTTTTCATTCAATGCTATTAGTGTGATAATGAAAAAAGGTTGCGGCTTATCAGAAGCTAGAAAATTGAAGAGTGCTCTTGAAGAAAATAGTTCATTAAACCCCATCACTAAAGCTCAAATGCTGCGAGCGTATGGCTTTTTCGCAAAAGAATGCACAGAGACGGATCACAAGTTTATTGAAGATACTATTGATGAGGTCCTCTCTAAATTCCCTGTTCTGACAGCAGATTTGAGTGCTGGTCTTCTAGTTGCATTAATATCAACCCCTTCGTGGAAACAGCAGGCAGATTTAATTCTCCAAAAAACAGGCAGTGAGGTACAAATTTTTTTACAGCTTATGTATTAGCTCATGGTTTTCATAAGTTTTCAATAGACGTTCTGAGAGCAGCTTTGATATTGCTTTTAAATTCTTTACTTTGCAGCTTAACCACCGTCTTCTTAGCCTGTATGCCCTTCTTGCTTTTGAACACAACGAATATGATCTTGGTTGGGAAAGTATGAGGAAAAATGTAAACACAGGAACAAATTTCCTCCCTTCGGTAATACCACATTAATTTTCCATTTTTTACTGTTTTAAACTAACAGATCCTGTTTCCTTCTAATTTTAATGTTTCTTTCTACAAATTTCTCCATAGTTATATCAATGTATCATTGAAAAACATGAATCGTATCCCAAAGAAAATCTTATTTACAAACTAATCGACTTTCTTGATGGGAAATCCTTTATGATGACATCACGGGCAGCTGAACATCTTAGTAATATTTTAGATTCAACTGATAAATTTGTGTCACGTTTTGCAACAGTTGGTTTGAGGTACACCTAATTCTTCTATGATTCTCGGAGCCTATCTGTCTGTTCTTCTTGCTCTTTTCCATGCCCTCTTTGATTGGATTGAAATGTTGTTATTTTCTTTTTTCTCATTATTTTAGTGGACACTGTTCCTGCTGTAACAGAAGATTACAGAAAGTTTCATTGACTGAAGAGGAGTACCAAAAATTATTAAGTGATATCCATGAGCGATTTGATTTAAAATGTAAATTCAGTTCGTATGAAGAGGAAGAAGTTTCACACTTTAAAGAATTTCTTGAGCAATGCCCTCAATTTAGCATTGTAGTTGATGGCCTTAACATGTTCTACAGAGTATCAAATAGAACAGAAACAAATTCATACCAGGTGATCCAAATTTTCACAATCAACTTGTTTCCATATTTCTGAATGTTTATTTTGCAGACTCTTAACTAGTTTTCATTGATTTGATTGTACTTTATTTCCATCAGATAATCAAAAAACTTTTATACAAATTAGAACAACAAGGGCATAAAATTTTAGTAATTGCCCGATCTCATCTACGGGGTAATAAGTTCTTCTGTCAAGCGTTTAAGGGACATATGATATACTTTTTAAACGACAGGTATTTTTCTGAAACGTTTTTACTATGCTTACTGTATACTTAAAATGTTCAGAGTACTTAAATTTCATGTTAATTTATTCAGGACGAAAGATGACACGTTTACTATTTACTCAGCTCTTTCCAAGGGCCAGGACACTCTTGTGTTATCTAATGACTTTTTCGGGACATATCATGATTCAGTCAAAGGTGAAAATAAGCTTTTGTTTAGAAAATGGCAGCTAAGCAATCAGATGATAGGCACTGGATACCTTTCATTGAATTTTGTAAGCAATTCACTTTTCTTTTTTGACAATACTTCCAATTTTAATTGTAGTTTGCGTATTAACTTATTTTGAGAGGATTTACTTCATATTTTCCAGGTTGCACCAAAGTTTTCCCCAGTTGGTCAGAAATCAGAAGATGGTTCATCCATTCACATTCCTCTTGTAACAGATGACCAGTATAAGTCATATGCACCATATGCCTGGCTTTGCATTCAGCAGGTGAGTATGGAGGAAAAAAGGAGAGCGTGGAGGAAATGGCCAAAAACAACTTTCCTTCATGAAATTGAAAGCAAGCCAGGAGTTGAATCTTTTAGACTCCATGCCCATAATGTTAAAAACAGCTTTAAAAGACACCAAGATCATAAAAGATCAAATGTCCGCTACAATTAGAGCAGAAGTATTTTGTATTACTAATATGCAGTAAATAAAGTTCCAATGTAGAATGTTATAAATCTATGTTAGTACCTATTTAAATTGATTTCTTTAAAAAAAATTGTTTTTAATTTGGGCATATTGGGCAGATTGAATGCGGCATGGCCACAATGTGGTCCCGATCGTGTGTTGACCATAATCAGATGACGGAGGTGTATTGTTGAGCAGGAGAACCAGGCCGACCCGTACCCGTAAATGAGTGCCTCGTATGAACCGTCTCCTTGCTCTTCTTTGGCTCAAGAAGCCTTGGTGGCAGCAGTCTCGTTGCATCGATCTCAAAATCCCATTAGACCTACGGTCCGGGCGGCCGGCTCAGGGATGCTCATGGAGTGCCCGCAGCATGACCCCACCTAACCACTGTGCGATTCCCCCCCCC